TCAAATTGATGGTGATAACAACTCTGTGGTTGATTTGGAGAAAGTTTATGTCATACAGTCATAATGTATGTAAAGATTAAAGGTCTCTTCTTTTTTTTTTAAGATATTCAAGAATGTTTGGAAATCAAAGACATCTGTGGACCTAACGCCAAATGTAAGAATGCAATCCCCTATTACTCGTGCACCTGTGATGATGGATTCATTTCTGCTACTGGGAATAAAACCTTTCATCATGATCAAAATGCTACATGTGAAGGTAAAATGTTGTTCTCATTGGTGCTGCCATTTTAGAGTGATCTCTTCTGTTTAAGGTGATGGCAGAGGATTTTTTTTTTCAGAAGTATTCTTACATGTGTCCTTCCTGCTGCTCTAGATATTAACGAATGTCAAAAAGGAAATCCCTGTGGTCAGAATGGATTGTGTAACAACACACAAGGCAGTTATTACTGCATCTGCAATGCAGGGTTCACTAACTATGGCAACAAAATGGCACGGTGCACTGGTGAGAATACTGTCCATCATCCATCATTAAACTGGGGTTCTTCCCAGTAAATGCAACAGAAACAAACAGAACACTTATTGAATACCTCTGGTCATCCGTAAGCAAATTTATTCATTAAACTTTCTTTCTTCAGAATTAAACTGTGATGTTTTCAAAGCTCTAAACGGGCTGGAAGAGGTAACTCCACATCACAAATACTATAAAGTATCAAAATTCAGCGCATATTATGAATAGAGTTGTCTCACATTTTTGTTTTATCGACCACCAATCTCTCTTCTAGAAATTTCCTATTGTGAAGCAGCTCAATAAAAGCTGTCAGGAGCTCACAGGGGACAAAAGTCAGAATCCATATGATTGGACAAACCAGACCAAAGAGGACTTATTGAAGGTACTACTAAATTCAGAACATTTTAACCTTACTGCAAAAAAAAAAAAATCATCAAGTTTCTTGAAACCAGGCAGGAAAATAATGCTCTGCCTCTTTCAAACTGTCACATGATGCTCAGATGTCTCATAGACCGTTTACACTGAGGTAGCCTGAAAGTCTGCCTCAGTCTGCCTCTGTTTCTTCTTTCTCATGGTCTCCTCTCTCTTTGTCTTTAGAGAATGCAGTCAGAAATAGATAAGATCTTGTCCAGTAAAGTTCTCAAAGACAGAGGAAGAGTCTCCACCTTTCTGGATTTGGTGGAGAATGTTCTGAGGCTAATTGGAGCCATGACGAAGATGCCAGGGAGAAACACAACTTCTACTCACACAGGTTTAATAAAAATTTGCATTTGCAGCAGAATTTAGAAGAAAAACAAACCAACAAACAAATATGTCCAATTCAGGTAGATATGTTCAAATATGACAGGAGCTTTTGCCTAGAGCTTGTACATTTATTATTAATTACATTTTCTTCAGCATTATTGATCAAGCAGTGTAAGATAAGAAAAAACAACATTTATCTGGTTTCAGAGCTGCAAATGCTGGTACATCATGGGCCTGTTATATCCAAAAGAAACACAACTTTATCAACTAAGCATGCTAAGTTGGACATCCACATGGAAATGGCGGCTGGAGAACCTGCCTATTACCCTGGTAATGACAACAAATATCAAATTTGTAGCCAATTTCATCACGTTATGACACACTCCAATTATTTTCTCCTTTTATTGTTTCAGGCTTTACAACAGTGTCCTTGATGAGCTACTCAAACCTGGAAGACTCTACAGATACCTTCTTTGATGGGCTCAAACCACAAAAGAACCAGAGCTTTAAAATAAACTCCAAAGTGGTGACTGTCACTGTTAGCAACAGAAATACAAGCCACCTCAAAACGCCAGTCAAACTGACTTTGGACCACTTGATACAGGTAAAGAGGAGAGCTTACTACTAATGTTTAGGGACTGTGTTAATCTACGTTGACAAACAGGAACAACAGAACAGTCAGTATCTCTGGTGTACATCTGTTTAACAGAAAAATCAAACGCACATCTGTGTGTTCTGGGATTCCTCGGTGAACGGAGGATCATGGTCTGATCGTGGCTGCGGTGTGGTGGAGTCAAACCTGGAATATACTGTGTGTTCCTGTAATCACCTGAGCAGCTTTGCTGTACTGATGGCCCTCTATGAGATGGAGGTTAAAACTAATTATATATACCATACTGCTTTTAGTTCAGAATTAGTTTAACTTCAACCCATTTTCATACAATAATGTTACCATTCTTTCTCTTCCACAATAGAATAAGTTCGAGTTGCAGCTGATCACCTGGGTGGGCCTGTCCATTTCACTGATTTTCCTATTCATCTCCATCCTGACGTTCTCAATGATCCGCTCCATTAAAAGCACAAGAACCACCATCCACCTGCATCTCTGCATCAGCCTCTTCTTTGCAAACCTTGTCTTTCTAGCGGGAATCTCTCAGACAGCGAACAAGGTAAACAGAAACTCCACTTGCCATCAGCATGTATGCATTAGCAGAAGTTTCTGCCACCTTCAAATATAACAGAGAACTATATACTAAGTTGCAGCAAAGCTACTGTTAAATACCCCAACTCTTTGATCTTTGGGCTGAAAGAATAACAACACTCAGTGTATAAATGCTCCTGTGCAGTATGTTTTGTTCTTTCTACAATCAGAAAAGCAAGGCCATGATTCTCTGCAAACAGTATTCTCTTTATAAATCAACAGTATGAAGTACCATTGGATAGTGTAATTCATTCACTGTAAATCAGCAGTCAAATGTAATACAAACCAGTCTAATCAATCTAATAATTTCACCTTCTAACTCAGGAGTATAATGCAACCAAAAACTATATAATGATTTCATAAGCTTAAATCAGAGGTATAATGTAACATAAGACAGTGTAATAATCTCACACTACTGAATTATTAATAAGAGATATTAATAAGAGATATATAATAGATATATAATAGACACATAAACAATTGAGGAATTTCTAGACATTTCTCCCTCTTCATATTCATCTACGTTATTCATGTCTGTTACCCTGATCCTCCTCTTTCCTTCACTTTCCCTATTAGGCTGGCTGTGCAGTGGTAGCAGGAATCTTGCATTTCTGCTACCTGGCAGCGTTTTGCTGGATGTGTCTGGAGGGCATTCAGCTGTTCAGGATGGTTGTCCTCGTCTTCAACACCAACTTTAAAACCCTCCACATGATGGCAGTTGGCTATGGTGTTCCAGCTGTTATCGTTACCATCTCTGTCTTAGCTAATTCTGGAGGATATGGCACTAAGAGATAGTAAGTTTCCCCAGTTCCATGTCTTGATAATTATATTGTTCTATCGTTAATTCAAGTTTGAATTACTTACTACCCCACTACTCTTGATATGCATTTCAGTTGTTGGCTAAATCTGGAAATCATTTGGAGTTTCTTTGGCCCTGTCTGTGTCATCATCATTGTAAGTATTTAGGAAAAATAATTATTGAGTGTAATGTGATCCAAAATGGTGACTTGTGTTATGTTTAAACCTCACCTTTGGTCTTTCAGATAAACATTTTCTTCTTTCTCATAACTGTGTGGAAGTTAGCACAGAAGTTCTCAAGTTTGAACCCTGATCTTGATAATCTGCACAAAATAAAGTAAGTCACAACTCAAGCTGCCCACGCTAAACGCCCCATGCAATTGCTGCGTGGAAAGTATAACGTAATCTATTGCCTCACCAAAGTACCTCGCACATGACATGTATGCATCTTTGTTGCCTCCTGCAGGGCATTCACCATTACTGCAGTGGCACAGCTGTGCGTTTTGGGCATCATGTGGATCTTTGGTTGTTTCCAGTTTGAGGAAAGCACTGTAGCCATGTCTTACCTGTTCACCATTTTTGGCAGCCTTCAGGGTGTTATGCTCTTTATCATGCACTGTCTGTTTTCCAAACAGGTTAGTCACATTTGTCTCAAAAGTAAGGGACGCGTTCTGCTGTCTTTAGTGACGCCCATACTAAAGATTTTCTGAATTTAGGTGAGAGAAGAATATGAAAACATCCTGGCCAGATTCTGTGTGCCTCAGAAGAAGAGCTACAAAGAGTTCAATTACTCCAGCAAAGCTCAAGTAAGCAGCTATTTATATTTTATTTTCCTTTTTTGACTTTCTCACTAAGCAATATTAAAGTGAAATCAAACATTTATTATGCACATTGATGGAACATTCATTTTGATTCGATTAATTTCATTTCATTTTGATTCATTTTGAACATTTGATCTGTTATGGAACTACTACTTAAATTTTAAACCCTAACGAAACTCAATTCTTTCCCATTGGTTAAAGAAGACAATAAAATATTATACTTAATACTTTTTCATACTTATACAACTGTTCTTCAACTGTTCCCTATACTTAAGGAACAGTTGAGATGGTTTTCACAGCTGATTGAACTATGCCCCTTTGTCATCTTCAGGCATCCAAGAGCAGCCAGGACACAGGAGAGTCTCATTTTTGAGAAGCTAAAACTTGACTTGAGACAAACTCTGATTTGCTGGAGACTTTCAGTCATTGGGACACATTGACATCGCACTTATAGCGCATCTGTTTGCTTTGTTGCAAAATTTTGTAAATATTACCATTCTTTACTATGTGTGGGCCTTTTATTTTAAGTCACTGAGTTATCTATTCAAATCATTGCAACTTACAAAATCCTTACAAAAGAAGCATTTTGTTAAGTTTTTCAAACAGGAAATTATGTAAGTAGTTTTAGAAGCATAAATCTACAAATATTAAAAATTTCATATATGAAAAAATGTTTTCAGATTATCATAATTGTGTATAATATAATTAATAATTGACCTGTTGCATCAGGTAAATCTAATAATGCTAATTCTTTAATTCAGGTACTGTATTTAATGAGCAATCTGAAACATATTTGCTGAAAAGCACCTTCTTCAACCACTTCCTCAAGCTTCTGAAAGACCCACAATAAGAGGACAATTATGAGACCGAAACATATATTTAAATGTTTTAAAAGTTTGTGTCTATATTGCTGAGCAATTTTCCTGTGTTTTCATTCTTGACTGCATCCATTCTCTGGGTTTTATCATGAAGCTATTTTAGAAGATTGTAAAAAAAATTTTTAATGCATTTACAGTTTGCAATTACTTCTTTATTTATGTTTATTGTTAAAAAAAAAAACAACTTTTTTTAATTACGTTTTTTTTATGTTCTCCTAAAAGTTTTAGGGTAAATAAATATTCTGATGTATATCATCTTTAGTGATTTTAAAATGTATCGCATTTGATATAGAGAATAAACTAGCAATGAACACCAGAAAGACAACTTTTTGGCCATTATTTCAGAACACAAAGCTTTAATTCAATGTTAAAGCATTTTCATCACACAGACTGCACATATTTCACATGTGATTTCAATGTCATCTTTTTGAAATCAGGGTATAATTTTCATAAAGTACGTCCTTAGTAGACAATAACTTTAAGTTTTATTATATATTATATAATATATTTATTATATTATATATTTTAGAGGAAAAAGATATTTTAAGACATTTTAAGTGCTATATAATTTCAGTGTATTTTAGAAAAAAGAGCAAATAATGTTTCCCGATTTTAGGTTGGAATTAGAAAGTGATTCTTGATGTGTATGCCATAGTCGCAGTAAATAGTCAGTTTTACTCTCATGCACAACTGACTGTATCTGATGAAGTGTTGATCTGACTTTCCTGCATTATAATTATAAATGCAAAAAAGCACTATCAAATATTACAAGACTTAGGCCGTGTGACTTCCCAGCGATTTAACCAAAACATGTTTATATGTTTTATATATTTATTTATCTTTGTTTTCTGTCATAAACATTCAGGGTCCAACAAGATTTCTTT